CCATTGTTACTTAACACTTCCATTGTTGATGGAAGTGTTAAGCCTTAATCCTGTCTTTCTCCCTCACCCGGGGGAATTTCGAAAAATCCCTTCTTAGTGTGCGTTTTCGTGACGTACCCTATCTATGTACCAAATTTCAACTTTCAACTCCTAACTGTTTGGGCTCTGCACTTATTATTATTATCATTATTATCAACCCGTCTCGATTATATTATAGATAATAATAATTCATCAATGCACCTCTAACTTACTAATTATACACTTGCCGTGTGTCTAAAGTACACTATGGATTGCTAGAAACTTAAATTATTGATAAATAAACAAATACAGCTATCCCTTGCTTAATGTGGAATTTGATTAATGTGCAAAATTAATTGCAGCAATCCCTTTATATATGTGGCAGAAGTTTTAATTAAAGCAGCTTTACCAGCTGTATTTACTTAATATAGATATTGTATTTGATTAACATGGTAGCATTGACGGATTAATTAACCATGTTAATCAAGGAATACCTATAAATGAAATATAGGCACTTGTACATTAATACATTAGTATTCTTCTTTATATCATAAACAGTTGATTAGATGTCTTACAGCTTATACAATGAAACACCATGGTCCACTTTTTAAACAGTTTTACATTTAACACTACTACTACTGATACTTGTCTCTCTTAGAAGCTAAAACTAAGGTTAAATTTAAACAAAATAAACTAAGAATATAACAAAATTATGATATCACCACCAACAAGTGCAGTGTAAATAATATAAATAAGTACATTCTACATATGATACTATCCATGGCTACCCAGTAAACTAGTCTGGTGGCTATGGAAATTTTGTCTGGATTAAAGGAGGTGCTAGACCATCAGTTGCCAGAAATTTGGTGATGTACCTTATATTTTTATATGAATTACAGTACTTTTAATGTGTTCCTAAATTTTTACAGTTTGTTTTGAAAACTGTTACAGCAAGGTAACATAATCTTTATAATTAGTTTATAAAGTACATAATTATTAAATAATCTTATAATTATGTACAAATTTTCTAGATTTTTAATATGTATAAAGCCAGGATTACTGAGATACTGATTTGAGATTTCATTTCAGGGATTGTTTCGACTTACGAAGCTTTATCATCTGAGCCTGAGTGATAACGAGATAAATTATCTTCCACCAGATATTGCAAATTTAATTAATTTAGAAGAACTGGATGTTTCTAAAAATGGTAACTTTTATTAAATGAAATTATAAATTAAGTTCATATAACAAGTGAAATTAATATGGATTTTTTTTCTGGTGTGTTTATCTTAGATGTTTAAAATTTAACTGTATCAGCCCATTTGGAAAGTAAGTTCTGTTTGCAAATATTTCTGCTGCAGTGTTGCAGTGTGATTTTTGCGCATACATGCTGACTTTATTTATTGGCAAGTCACAGATGCCATTATGAGAATGTTAGCTCATGTTTACGTATTTTTATTTTTTTTGTGCACTTAACACGTTCGTAACAAGTAAGCTATTGTCTTTGAAATATGTTTCGTCATCTGTTTTTCAAATGAAAGAAATGTGAAAACTGTAGACCTGTATCACCAGATTTGTGAGATCTATAATCAAAACGCCATGAGTGATGAAGTGGTAAAGAAATGTGTCAGTGGTTAGCAGCAGTGCTGGGCAAATGTTTTTTTCTTCAGTTCATGCATCTGAAGAAATTTCTTGCTGGCCATCCTTTTCTCAATGGTGTCAAAGAAACAGTGCAGAAATGGCTATCTTTACAGGTAGCCGTATTTTATGAGGAGGGTCTATAGAAACTGGCCTTATTATGATAAATGCCACAATAATGGTGTAAACCATATAGAATTGTAGGTTAAAGTATACCAAATTTGATAAAAATAAGATTTGTTGACAAAAATAATTGTTTTTTTTTTTTTTTTTTAAAGCTTAATGATACTTTCTGATGGCTGATATTTATGGTAATAATTAGTTTTTCTGAACAGTAATTTAAATGAATTAATTGACTATAACGCACACAATGTGAATGAAAATAATTTCATAATTGGTATTTTATTGTATAAGTAATGTAATAAGTGAGCAATTGTGTTCTTGTGTGCTTAGAATTTTCTTGATGTTTGATATAATTGAGTAAAGCCTCAATTAGATGAAAACTTTCTTATTTAATAGCAAAAAATATTAGTGTTATACTGTTTTTATTCAAATTTGTAATTGATTAAACTGTTAAAGTACTAATAAACCAAACAGTCACTGTAATCGATCAGACTAATGATTAACTATTAAATAATTTGATACTAGAGGTAAGTACTGATTATGGCAATTGCTTGGTTTATTATTAATACATTGGACTTTGTGATGTTTATATATATGTCTATTAAAAAACTACACATTCAATAATCAATGAAAATGATTTAAGTGATAGTTAATATACAGAGTGATTGTAAAATCTATGTATAGTAAGTCTAAGTTTGATGAAAAAGTAAACATTTTCAGACCTGTTTGATTCCATTATCAGATGGATCTCAAGTGTCAAAAAAAATTGATAACTTATTTTTGAGATTCAGCTGATGCTAGAGCTAAGCAGTTCCAAAAACATTTATCTTTTTGTTAAATTTAAATCACTTGCTGTAAGCTGGAATTTTATACTTATTTACTATTAAAAGGAATCAATATGTTGAGATTTCAAGTAGAAATATTATATAGTAAAGCCTGTGTAAACTAGAATTGCACAGTACTGAATTATTTCTTCCATTTTGGCATTGTTTTGAACAGGTTTTAGTATTTCTTTTTTATCTTTAAATTACACCAGATGGATGTCATATAGTTATTTTCTTGTTTTTTGTAGTAAAATCAATTTGACGTATAAACAAATTTTTATTATGATGCTTAATCCAAAGCGATTTTCAACTGAAAATGGGCATATTTGAATGCAAGAATTGAGAACTATTTGAGTGAAAAAGGTTCTTGAGAACTTGTACTAGGTTTTCAAATACTTCTCAAATGTAATTCTTATGAACTCACATGGTAACAAACAAGCCAGTTCAAACACCAAATGCTTGTCTTAATCTACCATTGGAAATTCCAACCATGTTGCAGTAATACAGAGACCAAATTATTTTGTGATCCTTTATTTTGTATTCTTTATAAAACCATCTTTTTTGTATTAAATAATTTCCCATAATTGTTCAACATTACATTTCCTCACTTACCAGCAGAGCCTGTTCTGATAGGTATGCAGTGAGTACATGTATACAGGTGGCCAAAATCCTATAGTATTATAGTAGTAAAATATGCCAATAGTGCACTTTAAAAAATAAAATTCAAATATAATTTATTATTATTTTAATACTAGAAATTTCCTCACCAAGCATGATGGACTACTTTCTATGAGAAAGTAGAGTAAACAACCACTCACCGCACCAGGATATAGTTACTGACATATACTATATCTCTCATACGTTGATTGATAACATGGTGTAGAGTCCTGGTAGGTCGACACTCTGCGCAGGCGCGATGTGGTTGTAATAATTTTCGAACTTATATTTGAAATCTTGTTTGAATTTTATTCCAAAACGAGAAACCATCGAGGAATCATTAAAAAACCTGATGAAGGACTCAGAAGGAGTTTGAAAACGTTTGTTTTTGTTTGTTTTCGTCATCTACACACCGTAATTGATTCAGTATATCAGAGAAAGTAGAGATTGAAGAATTGAGAAGAGTACAGATTTCAAGAAATTCAGGAAGTGTAGCTAATGTTTCTACAAATTAAGTAATCTATGTTGCCTGTGGAGGCATAGTTAATATGTGATAATACATCTTAAATAACAGGCTCGTTAGATTGTTACTTCCAATTGGATAATACAGTGTCACATAGTCACTATAAAAAGTTTTTTTAAAAAATTGTTGTAGAAGTAACATGATGCAGCAGTTTTTAAAATTTAAATTTAATGAAGTAAGCTTAAAATATGTCATTTTCCAAAATATTTAAAAATGCAACTTAAGGTAAAATTCCATTGTCAAGCATGCACTAAATGAGAGGTCACAGACATCGCTGAAACATAAGTGTGATCACTGATTCGAAATTGATAAAATGTTTATTCTATAGGTAATATTTCTGAAAAATATGTAGCCTGTACTTTCCATCAGAACATAAAACAAATATAACCAAAATTTCTTCTGGATTGGACAAAAATTGCAGGAGTTGTAAGTAATAATATATGCAGGCTTCTATATTATTATAACTGATGATATAGCTGTACAGTTTATGGATATAAATGTGGTACAGGGAGATGACCTGAATGGATGGCTGGGGACACTTGAGAAGAGAAGACATTAGGTTTGGGGTCAAGGGTAAAAGAAGGGTGTGGAGTGTGAGGATGAAGTTGGAGGGAGATGTCGAGTTTGTGCATGAAGTCAGAATGTTGTGAAGGGCTATGATAAAGTTGTAGTTAGACTTAGTGAAAGTTTTAAGTGGTGAATAAAGTATTTTTGTTGGAGTTTCATTGTGTTGGTTAATTTAATAGAAAAACTCACACGAATAGAGCCAGAGTATACATGTTAGGTGTTTTGCATTAGAAAAATTAAAAGTGAAGCAACAGGTGATGGGAGATTCATCCTTTAAACCATCAAAAAATTTATCAGTGGAAATTCCATAACCACTACGATTGTTTCTTGTTTTAAATCATGTAAAAAGCATAAAATCTGGAGTTTGTAAATTTTTAAAGATTGCAAACTCCAACTTTTATTTACATTAGCGAGGTTGAGGCCGAAGTTTTAAATGCGAAAACGTGTACATTGGACATTCCGCGCCGCTTTCCCATAAGCTTAGAAGTTTGACAATGGTGTTTGGATAGTCAGTGGAATCATGCTCAACATTCCAAACACCATTGTCAAACTTCTAGGCTTACATATTCACGTTAAGTAACATTTAACTTGATAAATTATTCTTTTGTCAAAACTGTGTCTTTATTTTTAATGTCTGTTTTTATTTCGCAATGAAGTAAANAGAATGTTGTGAAAGGCTATGATAAAGTTGTAGTTAGACTTAGTGAAAGTTTTAAGCAGTGAATAAAGTATTTTTGTTGGAGTTTCATTGTGTTGGTTAATTTAATAGAAAAACTTCTCACACGAATAGAGCCAGAGTATACATGTTAGGTGTTTTACATTAGAAAAATTAAAAGTGAAGCAACAGGTGATGGGAGATTCATCCTTTAAACCATCAAAAAATTTATCAGTGGAAATTCCATAACCACTATGATTGTTTCTTGTTTTAAATCATGTAAAAAGCATAAAATCTGGAGTTTGTAAACTTTTAAAGATTGCAAACTCCAAGTTTTATTTACATTAGCGAGGTTGAGGCCGAAGTTTTAAATGCGAAAACGTGTACATTGGACGTTCAGCGCCGCTTTCCCATAAGCCTAGAAGTTTGACAATGGTGTTTGGATAGTCAGTGGAATCATGCTCAACATTCCAAACACTGTTGTCAAACTTCTAGGCTTACATATTCACGTTAAGTAACATTTAACTTAAAAATTTATATTTAAAACTTTTATAGAAAGTTTTGTGTATTTATGTTAAACATTCAATGAAACAATTTTGATTGAAATTTATTGTAATAAGAGCATTATTATTTATAGATTAGTTCTTAATTTTAAAAATTTGTAATAATCACTAATATTGTAAACAAAGAATTTAACAAAACAATCTAAGCTTTTGAAATAATAACCATATCTGACATTTTCATAATACACTAGTTAAACTATTTTTCTATTTACATTACAATTATAATACAATTTTTCTATTACAATAAAACAAAATTGGTTATTTTATANCTTAAAAGTAAAAGTTTGATGTTAAATTCAAAATTTACAAAATACTTTGAATGCAAGAAATTTGATTGTATAGACTACAGTAGATGTCTGTAAGCTAGGTGTTGTAGAAATTTGAGGGGTCATACGAAGGTTTGTTACTTGAAGAATTGAGTTTGAAGGATTGCATATGTTTGATGTCTTGGATTTTGTTCAGCTTTAATATTGTGAAATGTACATTGAAAATAATTTATCTGTGTTTTAGTATTTTGTCCAAATGGCTTTACAAGATATCAATGTATGAAATTGGGACTTTTGTAGTTGTTAGCATGTAAGGATGATTAGTTATGATATCTTGGTAGATAAATGTACCAGAATATTAAACCGATTAAAAATAGTAAATGTCATATGACAATTGATTTCCTCTGCCATGGATACAAAGAAACCCATAACATTAAGATGAAATATACTAAAAACACAAAGTAAGCAAAAAAAAAAAGATTACGATGAGATAAAGAAACAATAAACTATGCATTTGCGCATATGTTTGTAGTGAACAAAATCTTCAACAGAATAAATGTTCAACAGAGCTCATATTATGAGAGATGTGGTGAAAATAGTATTGTAAAGAGATTACTAACCTAAAATATGGTGTATAAAAGAAACATGTTTGGCTATGTGTGTTTTACTGTGGAGCTTTTAAGCAGAGTCATTCATAATGGACATAACCATTAAAATATTTATAAAATAATAAACAGTCAATTTATTTTATACGTTCACTAAGGGAAAGAAGTTCTAATCTGGACCTAGCTACATTAGCTTATAAATGAAAATTAAAGAAAAAAGTAATAAAGTAATATGTTATAGATTAGATTCTTCAACCTACACAGTAGAAGCCACGAATTTTACTAACTATGCAACCACAACTATTGTGTTTCGTCTTTTTTTGATAAATTATATGCTAATAGAGCTACAAAAGTCCAACTTTAAACATTGATATCACGTAAACGAAAGGCCCTTTGAACAAAATACTGAAACGATGGTTAATTATTTTCAATGTACATTCACAATGTTAAAGCTCATCAAAATTCACACCGTCACAAACGTGATGATGTGGATTTCCTTTTGTAACTGTAAGAGTTGTGAGTAGGAAAATATGATACACATCCAATATAGGCTGTCTATAAGTCTCATTTAAAAGTTATTATGGAAAAGTTAGTAATAAAATAGGAAGAAAATTCTTTGAGTATTTTTTAAAACCATATAAATTAATGGTAAATGTTTCTAAACTTGACAAAAGTGATTTCCAATGTTGGTTACATAAATTAATGTACAATTGTTCCAATGTGAATTTGATTGTTATAGAGCTATATTTAACTTATTTGGATGTCAACAGGTTAAAAAGTCATTTTTTGTAAAATTTCAATGATTGATGATAATATATACGCATTATAATTTTCAGATATCACAGAAATTCCTGAAAATATAAGGTTTTTAAATAATCTTATTATTGCAGACTTCAGCAGTAATCCTTTATCAAAGTAGGTATAATTAATTAAATGAAATTTTTAAATAATAAGACAAAAAAATTGAAATTAACTATTCAAAATCAATTAAATGGAATTCAAAGTAATTATTAAAAATCAAACTTAGCAATAAAGAAGTCTATTAATTTATAAATAGGTAAATATTTTGAGTTTTTGTTTAGTTTCTGGATAAGTGAAAAAAGCATTTATTTAAATTTTATTCGCCCATGAAAGGACGATTTCATTATAATGTTGTGTATTTTAGAATTTTGCTGCATTTGAAAATGTTCATATCAAAATCTGAAAGAATTCCTATTGTAATTTCTCAGATTTGTGAAATAGAATGTCCGAAACATTCTAAAATGATACGACGCAGACTTTAAAGAAGTTATTTGATAATCTGGTTGAAAGATTAAGGCCAAGATGTAGTCTCTAATATCTGTTTGCGTATAAATTAATGGACTTTTTTATTATTAAGTTTTTAATTTTTATTTTATATTTTTTTAACAATGGAAAAGAATGTTATAAATTAACTTACATAAACAATCATAAAATTTTTATAATAGAATTTGTTAGAATATTGTTCAAATAAGTATTCACCTTTCTTTCGTCTATGCATTAACAAAGTTAATACATGGGGCGAGACAATAATTATTGTCAACTTGAATATCTAAATGAATTATTAAGATTGCATTTCTTTGAGGTTTTATGATGGCATTCTTGTTTTTTTTTAGCATTTGGCTAAAAAAAAAATTGGACATGATGCACTGCATTGAGATGAAATGAAAGATCACCTTTAGATAAACTATTGTGTGTATGTGTGTGTGTATCTTTTCAATGCAACTTCTAAGAGGAATAGAAAGAAGGGCATTTAAAATCATTGAAACTCAATTATAATAAAAATATGGAACTGTGGATTATAACTTATTTGAAGCATATTGTAATAATTCTCTGTTCTATGTGTTTATGTACAGAAATAACACTATTTCAGTGTTATCATACTTTGTTGTTTCAATAATTTTGAATGCCCTTGTATCATAAATATTGTATTCTCTCTTAGTAGCTGCTATCAAAAAATACATACATACTTGTAACATTTTGTTTAAAATAATTTGATCTTGAGAATGAAGAATTTTTCCTTTGAGACATTATTTTCTGCATTAAAAATTTTAATCTTTTTGTTAGTTAGTGTAAGTTGAGTTTTATGTTTATTTCATTTAATTTAGATTATAATAAAGTCCTGATAAACCAAAATTTAATCAAGTTTCCTTCTCCTCTGAGGTGAATTGTAGAAGAGTACTTGGCCAACAAGAGAATGCAATACAGTATACAAAAATTTAAGAAAAATTCTTGAGTAGACGATACACACAAATGTCTTTTTTAACTTAGTCATTTCACATGCACATGAGAAAAATAACAGTTCTATAGCAGAGTCGACCTTTTATTTGAGGCTACTCATTCGCCTCCGTATGTAAAAAGGTTAAACATAATTCCTCTGGCAGTGGCAGTTTTGTTAACTTAAATTTGTCCTGGCTAATTTTTATGCAATACAGTATAGTTTGTTTTGCAGATCTAGACTGGAAGATGTGCGGTACTCAGAAGTGGTTTTAAAGTTTTACTCTGATAACTTCTTGTGATAATATGAATTTGAAAAAATTAAACATTGTTTAATTGTATTTGACATAAAACTCTGATTTTATAACAGTATCCTCGTATTTCATCAATCACTTAGAACTAAATATTGTACTAAACTGTACATGCTTTCAGAGTTTTTCATTATCTAATGTACTCTTGTAGTCCACGTTAACTCAAGTAATTAGGACTATTGTACGCAATAATTAAGATAAAAAATTCAGCAATGAGTGTGTAATTCCTCTGGCTGTTATGGAACCTTATTTAAAAGTAACTTATATCATTAAATCATTACCCCAATCTTGAAATATTAAATGAAATAGATGCACTAATAAAAAATTCTATGCGTGTACACATGCATTGAATTTTTTTTCTCAGTTTTTGACATTTTTGGGTTCAGAAGGTCTCAAAAACATGGAGATTTGCAAAAAACTGAGGATCAACTTTGAAACGATTCCAATAGCCTCCAATTCCCTTGTTATGTATACATAAAAGCCAGGAAAGTAAAACGAAAGTTAACAACAGATTCAATTGATAAATAATTTTTACGTTGTTTTCAATATCATTTTATTCTCTTTTCAAATTTGTTGAAATTAAATATTTATTAAAAATATAAAGATGATATGTCAGTTATATAGCTATCTAATAAATATATCACACCTAATATAATGGTATAACAATACATTGTTTTATATAATATATAAGTTATATATTATATAAGTNATCTGTCTTGAATCATCAATCCCCATCTCTTACACCTGGCCACCTCTACAATAGGCCTTAAAAAAGATCCTCTTATTGCTCATAGGACAGAAAGAGTAAGAAAATAGTCAGTCAAGATGTGGCATGAATTAATCTGATGTTTAGTGATTTGATTATTAGAGTTTGGATTTGATTGTTTATATCAATATATAAGTAATATTTGCTTATATATTGATCTTCATCTCTCTGAAATACACATGCATAAGATTTGATATTTGACTATCAAGACATTTGATGATAGTAAGTTTTCTTTGATATGGAGGAAACATCAAAGAAAATTTACTGAGCACATTTTTGCAGAATTCTACAAATGTGTCTTTTGCTTAGTAAGACTCAAATCTGAGCATTTTCGTACAAATTTCCAGAATTTGTATAGAAAAGCATTTTCTAACTGCATAAATTTTTAGAATTGTTTGTATCTGAACATTATAATTTGAAGAAAATATCACCTGTGGCAATATAGGCTTATGTGACAAATAAAACAAAAATTTATAAAAAATATTATTTATATTTAATTTTATATAGTTTACATGCTTATTCTGATTATCAGAGTGTTGAATATATCAGTTTTTAAGTTAATCAATCTCCATAAAAACTTTGTGTATTAAAGCCTAGAAATCATTTGTAATGCCCAAGTACTTTTGAACCAATCAAGCCAACCTTCAGGGACTTCGTACCAACTGTATCTTTTGGTTGTAGATGAGTTCATGTAAATCTCCTGAAAATAAGCATGAATTTGACCTTCAAGCCAGTCAGGCTTTGAAAGTACTTGGGCATTAGAAGATGAGAGGTTTTCTCGGGTTGGTCTCCAAAAAGTAATTTGTTACTGAACTTTAATTGTTACTTTAAAGTAACATCTAAACTATGAATCTTAAGATAAGTTATAAGTCATTTAAAATAATTATTTATTTAATAGTATTTAAAAGTTTGATATTTTATTTCATTTTTTTTATTTTTTAGATTGCCTTCAAGTTTTCCTCAGTTAAATAACTTGACGGTTTTGGGATTGAATGATGTTTCTCTTTCAGAACTTCCACATGACTTTGGAAGGTATTGTATTTTGTTAATACTATAATGAGTTTAGTAAAGTTTCAGAAAAAATTTCATATAGTAGACTATACATTTTTGACCTAATTAATTGCTGGAAAACCATCATTAAACAAGCTCTTATAAATCAAACTTTCCCTGAACTTAGTGTTATAAATTAAGATCCTATTCATGGAAATACATTTTGATAAATAGCTTAATGTGTATTACATTACATAGTCGAAGTATAGTAGAATGTCAGTTAACTGTACCTATTCATGACATGATTCAGACGATTCAGATTATTGAAAATTCAAATAATTAGTTTAAGAAAAAAGCATTCTTATCCACAAAAAATGCTATTACAAAGTACTTTTTCAGTAATAAAAGATTATTTCCAGCAGTTTTCTTTAACAAATTATTTTTTCTTTGACCACCATTGTTAGAGAATGTCTTAGTTTATTTGATATACTGTAAATTTTTAAGTACCCATAAAAACAGCATTTGAAAATCAAATTGAACATAGCACTAAACATTGCTTTATGATGTTAATGGCTAGAAATAAACTAGAATGAGTAGGAGTAAGATCACATGGCTGATTTCACAAATGGAGATGTACATAAAAGATAGAGCTTGCATTCCTTGGGTGATTTAATGAATTGGTAATTTTGATAATTAGACTACTTCTGTTTATGGCAGTTAAATGTGCCATTTTCATATCAGTTATAAATGGAAGATTGTAAAGTTTACAAAAGATTGTTAATTACAAAAAGATTTTATTTAGCAAAATTTTGATATTCATCAGAATTTTTAGTTTATTGAATTATTATAATTTTTTTGATGATGGCATTAAAAAAATTGCCAACAATGAAGAAATATTTGATAAAAACAGTATACAGTAGTACCTCAGGATACAAATGCTTCAGCATACGAAATTTTCAGGATAAGACATGAAATTCGAACATATTTTTGCTCCACGGTATGAACAAAAACTCACCATTTGACATTGCGTTAGTTTGCAACGCCATCGCCATGATTACGTGTTCCTTCTGTTCATTGGTCTTAGTCTGTGTGTTTGCTTTATCATGGAAGGATCTTGCTCGATAAAGGAAATCTTGAGGTATTATCAGAAAGTGACTGATTTTATTGAAAAAGAAACATCCCGAAAAGGTTCACACTGGTCGTATTGCTGCTCAGTTTAATGAAATTTGCCTAAGTCATTTTAGAAACATTTCAAAAAGTAGACAAAGCCAAACCTCTTTGGATAGATATTTTACCAAGTGACCTCTATCCAGTGAAAGTGCTGGTGGAAGTGAAGGAAA